CTCCGCTGTACTTCGCAGTTCGACACCCAGAGTCACCCCCGCGCCACGATGAGACGGTAGACCATCACGGGGGGTGGCATTAGTTGCGAGAGCATTAATAAAATAAAGAACGTTTCCTGTTAATGATGATAGGATAGGTGGCATCTCGACCATCATGCTTTCATAAGAATGTTGACTACACAACCTAGCAAATGAGTCGCCCTTTCCGAGATACAAATTGCCAAACACAAAGAACTCACCTATACAAATATCCCTCAAATAACCTTTGTTCACAAAGCGCAGATTTTAATCGCTCTCGTTCCGTAACAAAGTCCACAACCGTGCTTAGATCTTCCTCTGTAGTGTAGGTAGACAACGGTTCTTCAGAGCACGAAATTGGTGAGCGGCAAGAATCCGCTATAGTGAAGAAGTATATTGTGGACCACCGATTGATCAAGAGGGTACTCACTCTGCACTGAACTCTTTGCTGTCACCGGGCCATTTGTGCTTTTACGACGCCACCAAGAAAAACGGGAATTTACTCGAAGAGGATCATGTCGTAGCATTGGCAAACTATCACCCATCGGTCCAACATTCAACGAATTCAACTAGAATTGCTGAAATTTGATTTCAAAAATGTTAGTGAATTTGCAAACCTTTTGATCACTTGAACTCTTCTTAGCAGGTAGTGCCAAGTTTAGCTCGATTGGAAAGCGCTCTTCGACTATAAGACACCTGAGATGATTTAGTTAGTTAAGAGCGATAACATAACGAGATCTTTGTACCAGTTACTGTAGCTACTATCCACTTCGGGGCAAAAAATTGAGAAACGAGGTAGTTTTTCGAGGTACTTGCTCTTTGAAATAAGCGAAAAAATCTAAATAGAATAGAACTTAGAGCCACTCCATCAAAAACACAAGAAAACATCCATACTTTATCCGTACTATTATACTTAGAAAGGTCGTTTGACGAGTTTTCTGCAAAAAGAAACGTTTCGGCCAGCATTTTTTCACGAAATCTCAGGTAGTTCTGGAGCAGCATTGACGAGATCGCTGAACTATGAAATAATAGCATGAACATCGACACAATTTGTATCTTACAAAAAAATAACCTGTAGAAGCAGTACAAAGACGGACAAGCTGATTATACAAAAGTGATAGACGAGAACTAAGACTAACAGCCATGTCTTCCAACTCGACCCAAGGATTTGTGGTCGCTTCTAAACGACATCTCAAAGACTTCATTTCAGCTTCGACATCACAAGGGTCTAAAGTTCGATAAGTAATTAGAATCGCTTCTTATGCAAAGCGAGTATCTTACCGATATGAACAGATGCCACCAGCTTCTTCATGTTTTTGATGACAAATCGCTCTATAGAGCTGATAGCTTGGAGAAGAACATTACCTGTAGTCAAATGAATTTGCTTCGATTTTGGATCAATCAGCTGAAAGTTCATTTGAAAACTAGGAAATCTGAGAACTGCTATTTATCCAACCGGATCAGGCGGTTGCCGCCTTCTTCGAGGTAAAACAGAAACCAGAGATGCGATAACAGTCAGCTTCAGAGCAGCATAAGCGGTCTGGTCGAAGAAGAGCTGCCGTGAAGCAGCAAGCAGTTGAGAAGGGTGCAAACTAATTTCCAGTGTTCGCTTGCTATCCAACTCAAAGAAAGAGAAATTCGGAGGCCGATGACGATCCATGGACCTAAGAAGATACTTGTTGGTTTAAATTACTTCTTTAAGGAAATAACAACGAACCATAATTCAACATCCAAGACGAAGTTGAATGTCAACTCCAAGTCAGCATGGGCGTCGAGACGTAGAGAAATGAGAAAGGAATCGCCTGGAACTTATGTCAGTAAGATACAACACGGATACTAAACTTTGTGTGTTGAAAGTGCAAAATGAGCATGAGGGTTATCAGATAGAATAAAAAACACTATATGGTTGAGAGATTCTTACGCTAGAGTTAGGATCCCTCAGGAAAACTAACTTGAATGTAAAAGGGCTGCATCAATAAAAAAAAA